CACAGCTACAGCAAGCAGCTGCAGCTAAAAATAATAGTGAAAAACAATTAAAACGGAGGAAGGTGGGCAAAAAAAAAAAAAACGCCAGAAATGCTAGAGGAATGCGTGTGGGTTTACGATAGGAATAGGAAGCGGAATCAGCGGCTTCGGAAAGATCTTTTGAGGGTGAACGAGTGGCAACGGGGGTCACCTGCAATCGACATCGGATCAGGGGGCGTCCATCCATCTTCCTTCTTGGGCCTTACGGGCCTTCTTGACAGATGGGCTTCGTGTCTCGGCCTACTCTTAACAGAATTTGAGAGGCTGGGCTGGAACCTGTATATTAAATGGACCAAATTGGTGGGCCGTCAAATACGCCATATCCCACCTAATCCAAAAAAAAAAAAAAATCACATAAACATTAATAGGGAAATTGTATAGATTTGAGAGGAAGGAGGAGTGTAAATGCATTTCTGGATGCTATTCGTTTTTAATTGTCCATACTGGTTTTTTAAAGCCTTGTGCATTGGTTTTGTGTCATTCTATGTGATTATTCTTGTTCATCTCTGTCACCTAATTAGTAAAACGTTCTTATCTCGATCGCAAGGCTGAAAAATTTTCAATTTAGCAGTGCTAGACTGAGCTGGTCCGTGGAATCGCCATCATATACTGCTTTTAAAAAAAAATAAAAGATTCTACATTATGTTATGTGTGCGTTGGGCCATCCTCCTCGTCTTTGGAGAGCTGTCCAAAGCATGGGAAGTACTTATCCCATCATAATCAGAGATGGGAGGGCACGTATATATGGTCCACACCACATGATTCGCCTTCCCGAATATTAGGGATGATTAATTTTCACTTTAGTTAGCAGGTTAAAAGTTAATAACCTTATCACCCAACAATTTGCCCTTAATTTCACGGTATCAGAAAATAAAATAAAATATTCTGCCCTTTCACGTAGGTGCATCATGTACAGTCGCTATCTAATGGGCAACACGGGAGCTACGGGGCTGGGCCTCTCTAAATCATGGATTCTTCAACGGTAATGTAGAAATTCAGAAGGAAATTTAGGAAATCAGCTACAAACTAAGGAAGTTTCACTTTAATTCTCATGTTAATTTATACCCCCACAATTAATGCAGCCAACGATCATGGGTTACGATGGATGTAACATGTAATTAAGTAGATGTGTTGTAGCTAGTTAGATATATTTATATATAGTTTCTGAACATAAATATATAATGTTTACATAAAATATTGGCTATTAATTATCAGTAAATATAAGCTGATTTTTAAGTACTATATAACGCGCGCTATATAATTAATAATCCGCACAAGAATAGAAGGAATCCATGCATGGAGATGGAAGCCGGCCGTAATCATTAGTGCGACCCGCAGGATTAAAAGCTGTAGTGGGTGCAATTAATACATGAACATCGAAAGTTGAATGCGTCCCTAGCTAAACCGTAAATAATTGACACAGGACCGAATGCTGGCCCCTCAAATATATTACAAAGAGTACGCCCACCGACAAAACGTTGCGTTTGCACCTTAATTAGTTTATTCTCCTAGCTCGTCGCCTTATTTCTCCGTTTCCGTCCTCCTCTCTTTTAATTACTTACTTTCACGAGCTAGAGCATCGCTTTCCAGCTGCACCACCACCACCTCCCTAGCTCCCCACTTTGCAGTCCCCTTACTAGCTAGCTAGCTTCAATCAATACCGATAAACTCCATCCCCCGTACGTACGTCGTCCGCTGCAATTCGTATTGCTCGATCATCACATGTTGTGATGACCGAGGGCAGGGCAGGGCATGGCCTCCAACATCCTATCAATATTCCTCAACCGCTTCCTCCTCTCCCTCTTCTTCACTCTCGGCTGCTTCTCCATCTTCTCTGCTGGTACCCGGCCTGGTCCTCCAACCCCATCGGGTCCTCGTCGTAATAATTATGATGCTAAAGGAACAGAACCCCCAGTACCCAAACGCAGAAAGACCGCTAATGTCCTTTATATAACACCCGCCCCTTCGTCGACGACGACGACGACCTCCGTTAATTATAACCACCAATGATAGCTGCGGCAGCGCTACGACGACCCTATAAATCCCGCTCCCGCTCATTCCTCTCCTGCCTCAACCGCCTGCTTCTCCTTCCGCAGACCTCAACAGGAGATCGCACCAAAACCCTGACCGCCCCCGTCGCTCCTCCCCCGTCCTAAAACTACTACGAGCGACGATGGTACCTCTTCTGGCGCCTCTCCCACCGCCGAGTCCTCCTCCCTTGCTCGGCTTGCGGCGAGGTACTAGCCGAGCCCTCGCTTCTTGATCTACACCAAGCGGCGAACCACTCGCTTTCGCGAGCTCCGCGACGGCGACTCCGGCAGGAACAATGCGTCCGAATCATCTTCAGGCACCGGCTGGAGAGGAGCCGACCCATCCGGCCATCCACAGCATCCTCAAGATCCACGAACACGGAGAAAACGCTGGCGCGGTTCGAGGAGTACAGAGAGCAGTCGTCCCGCTCGAGGGCGCGAGCGAAACTCCGGCGACGAGCGCTGCATCGCCGACGGGAACGAGCGGCTGAGGTTTTACTGCTCCACGATCCTCTGCGCGCTGGGACCGGCGCGTGGAGCGTGCGGGAGCTCCTACTGGGCAGCACGTGCGCCATCGTGAGGCACGGGTTTGGGGGAAGCAGGGCGACTTGGACGGCATCGCTACGCACGACGCGACCGGGTGGGGGCGCACGTGTCTCTGCCGAGGAGCTGGAGACGGAGTTCGCTTTCCGCTGCACGTGAGGAGGGCGGTGCTCGTGTGCCGGGTGGTGGCGGAAAGGTGGCACGTGGAGGGGAGGAGAAGGAGGGGGCGGTGAAGTTCGACTCGGTGAGTAGCATGGGACGAAGGGCATCTTCCGCTCACGTGGAGGGGGAGGAGCTGCTGGTTTTTAATCCGAGGGCTGTGCTTCCTTGCTTTGTTATTATTTACTCCGTGTGATGCGCGTGCCAGCTGTGTGACTTGTTTGTTTGCTGACCATCCCTGATCCGTGCGTGTTGTGTGTATATTAATAGTACGTGAAATAAATTTATTAATTTTATTTTCTGTGGCTTTGGGATTTACACCCCGCTCCCCCTTATTACCGTTGTTACTGCAGCCATGCATCGTGCTTTTCGATCCGATTCCTTGTTTAATTATCTATTATTCATGTGTATGTTTGAAAAACGCATGTGGACTAATAATGGACACTAACCCGGGTTACTAAGTGATACTGAGAACAGTGGTTTTGGATTTTAATTGGATATTATCCAAGCCCCCAATAAATTAATTAATTAGAAGAGAGTATAACATGCAAGATTCCTTGAGGCTGCGTTTGGCAAGGGGATAGATGAAAGGTTAAGGGGGGTTAACCCTTCATTAACTTGCCAAACACAAAAAAATGACAATGGGTTAACAAACCCTCACGTGACCTCAAATGCTCATTTATCCCGTCAATAGACGGGTTAACAAGTCCTCGTAAGAAGGCGGAACAACGCTTGTTCCGGCTTCTCACGCGAGGGTAGGCAGCGGAATTTAGAAAAAAAAATTCATCTAAATCTCGTGCGGGGAGGCAGAGCGGAGTTCGGCAGCGGCAACGGAATTTGGAGGGAAAGAAGCAGCGGAATTAGGGGAATTAGGAAAAAATTTCATCTGGATCTGTTCTCATTACCACTAGCTTCTTTCGCCACAAGCCCTAGATTGAACAAGGAGATCCCTTTCGGTGATCTTGATGAAGATCTGGTTGTAAATTTTTCTGGGTTTTAGGCAAAATTTGATCTCTGTTTTCTCTCTCTAAGTAGAAACAAGTAGAGAAAGATGACAGGGAGAAGTATGGAGGTTCAGAGATGGGTGTTTTGTTGCAGAATGAAGGGATTTCTTCTGAGGCTTTCCAGGCTTTGATTTTTTCTAGCTCCTCTCATACTGGTTTCTGTGGTAAGCTCCTTTTCCTTTTCATATTTATTATGATACTAAAGTTAAATTTCAAGTTAAGCTCTGATCAATTTTCATAGTTATATTTAGACTTGACGTTGGTCTTTAAAGATTCATCCGAATAAACCTTATCCTGAGAGGCAATTCAATTAATAAGTTTCCATTGAGAGCTGTTCATCTCTATAATTGAATCTTTTTTTGCATTATTTGTCACAATTATTGTTCGGCATGACATGGGAAATTAAAGATTCATTGATGTATTCTCTACATCATTCTCATTAATACTGTATGAATCTCCACTGATAATTCACTGACTATTATTTCGTCACTTATCATACCATTGTACTGAATCATTTGAGTACTTATATTTTCAGGCTCTAAATCAATGCTAAACTTTGAGGAAATTTGCCATAGCACAAGCAACCAGCCATTCTACCACCCTAGAGAACCTGAGGAAACCTTTGATGATCATTATGATGAGTCCCTCCATCAGCCAGAGAAGAAGAGGAGGCTCACTTCCACCCAAGTTCAGTTCTTGGAGAAGAGCTTTGAAATTGAGAACAAGCTTGAACCTGAGAGAAAAATTCAGCTTGCTAAGGATCTTGGATTGCAACCAAGACAGGTTGCTATTTGGTTTCAGAATCGGAGAGCAAGGTGGAAGACGAAGCAAATTGAGAAGGATTATGAGGTGTTGAAGAAGAGCTTTGATGTTCTAATGTTGAGTCCTTTTGAGTTTGTTCCATTATTAGCTATATCAATTCCGTCGAAGCCCAGAATGATATCAGATGGCTTCAAAAAATGAAATTCTGGAGCAGTAGGCTCTATTCTCCTAATGCGAACACCTTTCTGTATGGGCGTCATCCCTATAGCCTTGCGCAAATCAGGATTTTCCATTTTTTGCCACTCAATACTAGAAGATTATTTTGTTTCATAAAAATGATAATAGATTGCAATATTGTTTGTGCAGATAGAGATGGGATCTGTGAAACTCGCAAAAATTTATATCAATAGAGTGTCAACAGAGCTCGAGTCAGTAAGAAACACAGAGAGAGAATCAATACAAGAAGCGCTTCTACTTCAGGGTGTGCGTTTTGCTTACCGCACATACCAGGCAAGTAAATTTTAGTGCAGAAAATTGTTTATCGGATTCATGCGCTTATACAAATACAATAAGAGTAACTTTATGGTGTTTTAATCTGGCAGTTTGCTGGAGGACTCGATTCTGATACAATGTGGGCCTTTGAGGAGTTGAGGGAGAGAGTTCAGTTGCATAGGAGAGGGTCTTTCATGGTGTAATACTCCTTGACACAGCGGCAAAGTTTCTGAAGACTAATCTAGATGGTAACTAGATTCACACATATGGTGTTTGTAACTTATGTCGATGTCTTTGACAAAAATGTTCAGAGAGATTGTTGCGTTAATTTGGAATAACAAAGGCAAGTTGAAAGGTTTATGAATCGATGATGGAGGTGGATTAAGAGGAAGATAGCATAATAGTATTGTAAAATAGGAGCATATTCTTATAACATTCTGAATAATTTTATACCATTCTGAATAGTATAGTATTGTAAAATAGGAGCATATTCTTATAACATTCTGAATAATTTTATACCATGAGCCTTATAGAATTGCTCCGGATTAGTATTGTGCTCACCTACCAACTGAGATTGGATGGAACTTCCTTGTTTTTGAGCATATTTGTTGTTCAGTAACTTACATGTGAAATTTAGTGGCAATTTTCTTGTAGCTGTATGTAGGGGTGGTAAACGATCGAATCGAATCGAATGCTAAGGTGTTCGTATTTGTATTTGTTTAAAATTATCGAATTCGAATGTGGACTCTAATATTCACATATCTAGTTTTTCGAATTCGAACTCGAATACTTGGTATTTGATAAATATTCATGAATATTCACGGAGGTGGATTAAGAGGAAGATAGCATAATAGTATTGTAAAATAGGAGCATATTCTTATAACATTCTGAATAATTTTATACCATGAGCCTTATAGAATTGCTCCGGATTAGTATTGTGCTCACCTACCAACTGAGATTGGATGGAACTTCCTTGTTTTTGAGCATATTTGTTGTTCAGTAACTTACATGTGAAATTTAGTGGCAATTTTCCTGTAGCTGTATGTGAATACTGAATTATTCCAAAATCAACCAGAAAAACCACAATGACTACAGAATCACAAAGGTTGATAAAGGTGTGCAAAAGTTGCAGTCAAGATAGTATCCCAATTTCAAAATTGAGTATTTCTCTTTTCGCGAGGTATTACTATATACAAATTTAGTGGCAATTTTCCTGTAGCTGTAAGTAAATACTGCAATCTTACAAAATCAACCAGAAAATCCACAATGACTACAGAATCACATAGGTTGATAGAGGTTGAATAATACCAAATTCTATAAATTTTTTAGTCAACTATACATAAATTCAAGCTCCTTTTATTTTAATGAGGCAATTATTTATAAATTTTCAATAAGGGCGAAAGTGGTATTTTTAAAAAAATAATGAGATTAATCTCCTTAGCCCTTTTTCATTTGCCAAACACAAAAGACTTAACCCCTTGTATTAACTATCAAATCCAAACGGAATAAGAATATTTTTAACCCTTTATGATGGAATAACTAAGTTAACTCTTCTCCATAATCCCTCTTCCTTAATCCTTTGCCAAACGGGACCTGAGTGTATTTTTAATAAATATGATAATAGAGATGTTGGTGGTTGGTTAAGAATGGCCAGATCAGATAACCATGCATATTAATATTATTTTTTTAATGGGGGGAGAGAGAGAGAGAGAGAGAGAGAGAGAGAGTGCTGTGTTAATTATGGGGTCACAGGGTCACGTTCTTTCTCGCTAGCACTTGGTTGGATTATTAGCGATGGACTACTGATGGCGTCGCAATCAAAATTCAGTCCACAAGTTTGGTTTTGGCCTTTTCGATCGATCTCGCCTAGTTCCCATGCCGACGCATCTCATTAATTTGTATGGGAAATAAGAATTTTCTTTCAAGTTTTAATTAATTAACATTTAACATTCTTAAATAGCTTTTATCCGGGCACGTGTGCGTACGCGTAGATCAACCAACAAGAGGGCCGGAGGAGATAATCTATGTGACAGCCCATTACAATAAGGGGGACTGGTGCAGGGCCACGTGAGCCCACTTAGTGATGGTTGAATCACACGCTTGTTAATGCGTATTTTACTTTAATCCCCAAACCCTAGTAGGCTTTTCTTACTAATACTAACTAACAAAAAGATTGTAGGGATTGTTCGACTGTCTCCGACCTTTAATCACTGTGCAACAGTGAGGTCTTTATTATGATTTTAAATTTTTTTCTGAGGAAATAGAAAATTAAGTTTGCTAAATTTTACCTTCACCAAAAAGTTGCCCTAAAATCTTAGACACTCGTGAGAAAAATTGAACCTACCTGAAAATTTATGATGGCTTAAAATAAAGTGAAATTTAATTTTCCCATGGGCCGAAGATCGAAAGAATAAAGTGAATACTATGGCTTTTAAGTACAGGGTAGAACCGCGTTAATATTTAGGCCTATTAGCTTTCACCCCATCTAAAAGCCCAGTCAATTTTATCATTATTTTAATTTTCACGTATTACACAAATGCGGAAATGCTACGAACGGGAGACAAAAGGACCAACGGATAAATGAAGGTCACAAAATGGGAATTATGAGAGTCCAGATTCCTCTATTTCTATAGAGTTTTAATTTAATAAATAATGAAAAATAGTAACTGCAGTATGTCCTTACCAAAATCTATAATATGTATGATATATTGATTTTTTATGCGGGAGACGATCCAAATTATTTTTTTTAAAAGAAAAAATTTGACAATTATATCATCATGGCAAAAGGAAAGAGGTTAAGGGGCTGTTTGGTTCAATTTCTATAAAAAAAAGTAAAGGAAAAACACCAAAAAATCAATTTTCTTGTATTTATATAAAAAATTTGTGAAATAGTTTATAGAACTCAAAAAATACAATTTTTCTTATTTCTTGTAATTTCTCTATTTGGTTCAAAATAAAAAATTGGGCCTATTACTTTATCGTAATAGCAAGTTTTCTTTCTTTCTTTTTTTTTCTTTTTTTGTGTTTGGTTGCCTATGAAAAAATTATAAAAAAGTTCTTATCTTATTCATTACTTTAGAACCACTAGTTTAACGGTTAGTTTGGCATCCTCAAATGTTATAAATTACAATTTTGGCATGAACCTAGCATAAGATCAGAGCTCAAACAAAGCCCGAAACACCATAATTTAGATCTCCAAATCAGAGCCAAATTCAGAGATCAAACTGAGCATCAAATTAGTTATAAATTGGAACGAAACCAGCACAAATCAGAGCTCGAACAGAGCCCCGAACAGATCTGCCCAAAACAACACAATTCGGAGCTCCAAATTGGAGCAAAAATAAGAGCTCAAACTGAGCAGTTTTTTTTTTTTATAATTTTGGCATCAACCTAGCACAAGTCAAAGCTCAGTTAGAGGCCCAAACAAGAACTCACCATCAAATTCAGAGCTCCAAATTGGAGAAAAAAGATCAAAGCTCAATCGCTGCCATTTCAGTGTAATTTCAACTCTTTTTGCTAGGAAGTTGATTTCTTTAACATGACCATATTTTATGTGCTTTATAGAAAACTTTTCTATAAACTTTTTTTTTAAACCGAACAGAATTTATAGAAATATACAGAGAAGTTTTATTTATAGAACTGCCATCGTCAAGCAATTTTCCAAAAGTTTTCTATAAAACTAGTGAACCAAACACCCCCTAGATTGAAACTTGCAGTACACACTTCATATAGAATGTCAATATTGGCAAACAGAAAGGCCCCAGTCATAAGTAGACACAAATACAAACTTCGCCTTTTGACACAAAGATAATAACCGATAATAAAATAAACATCAGTTCGAAAGTGTGACAAGAGAGACCGTCTCAATTAATTCAGATCACCGAAGGCTCCAAAAGCCTCCCCCCTTAATTTAGACGTCGCAGCTCGGCCATCAGTCCCAGCTAAAACAGCGTACTTATCCTTCCTAGTGAAATTGGTGCATTTAAATCCCAGAGTCGCGCCCAACGCCGTCTGTACGTAATTGGCAACCTCAACTGGCGACTTACCACCAGCACAAGTGAGCTCCTTGGGCAACTGCTTCAAGAACGTGATCTCAAAAACCGGCCTAGGATTCATAAACACGAAGTAAGGATCGAACATCTTCCACCCTCTCACCGACGTCCCATGAAACACGCTCTGCCTCGTGTTGATCGCAACGGGCACAACCCGATCCGTCAGCTCGGCGAAAAGCGCGCTGAACCGAAGAAGAAAAGGTTCTCTACAAGTCGTCCCTTCGGGGCAAATGACCAGATCTCCTTCTTCCAACAAGCGTTTGATGCTGGCAGCGTCCTTGTCTCGTTCTCTGGACAGAGCGACGGCTTTGATGGGGGAGATGAGCTCGGTGAGCCTGCTGATGCTATAGGTGACGCAGCTGATCTTGCGCCCGAGCGCAACGGAGACCATAACAGGGTCAAGGACGGTGCGGTGGTTGCAGACGAAGAGGACGCCGCGGTTGCCAGGCTGGGGGGGAGGGGGAGGGCTGCCTTTGACGGTGAGGGTGATGCCCATGAGTTTGTAGGTGTAGAAAGCGATGTGTTCAGGGAGAGGGAGGCTGAGGTAGATGCGGAGGAGGGAGAGGGCGACGCCAACGGGAAGCCAGAGGAAGGTTAGGAGCGCGATGAGAGGGGTTGGACGGCAGGCGAGACGGCCGTCGTGGAGAACTATGGGGCTCAAGAGTTGGCCTGGGGGCAATGGCTTGCATTTGGTTTTGGGGACGAGATACGCTTCCTGCAGCAAGCAGCAACAAACACGTTGTCGATCACATGCATATGTGTAGCTTCTACAACAAAATTTTGCATTAGTCTTGATTGTCATTATTATAATTGTTATTATTATTGTTGTTAAACCCAAATTAGGTTAGCTTCCAAGGGGACCGCTCACAAATTAGAGCTAAATAGATTTGATCGATTAGCAAAATAATAAGGGACATTAGATTAAGCAATATAATTCATTTTGTGTACTCTTTTTTGTACCTTACATGTTTTATTAAGAACTGTGTTGAATTAATCTTGTAACGTTATGCATTTCATAGGTTAATTAGTTGGTTACTTAGTGGGTTAAGTGTTTAGTTAGTTAGTTACAGGTTTCTTGTGCACGTTGTGCACGTTTGTAAGTTAGAAAAAAAACTGTTTTGTATTTGTAGTTTTATATGACAGTAATGAATGTGTGTGGATTTTAGAACGCCTGAAAATTGGTTTTCTTTCCTCGTCACAAAAGTGTGTGTTTCCAGCAAATTGAAGAATCAATTCCAACATTTGGTATCAGAGCTTGGTTGGGATTTGATGCCAAAGATCATGCCGGCGGACTCAACACCTTCAAGCAGCGGATCTGGCAACACAGTGACGTTGAAGACAACTGGAAGAGAAGGGACAGTCTCTCTTCAGTACCCGCTGCTCACAAAGAGCAACTACTCAGCATGGGCGATCAAGATGAAGGTGTATATGCGTGCACAAGGTGTATGGGATGCCATTGAGCCCGATCACCCCAACGATGAGGTAGAAATGCGGAAGGATCAGATGGCTCTTGCTGCCATCTATCAAGCCATCAGCGAGGAGACACTTCTCGTGTTGGCTGAGAAGGAGACGGCCAAGGAAGCATGGGAGATGTTGAGGACAATGCACATGGGCGCTGAGCGTGTCAAGGAAGCAAAAATTCAGAATCTGAGAAGTGAGTTTGAGGGTCTTCGCATGCGTGAAGTGGAGACAGTTGATGATTTTGGTGCAAAGTTAACCACTATTGTCAATAAGATTCGTGCATTGGGCGACAAGATAGATGAGGCTTATGTCGTCAAGAAGCTTCTTCGTGCAGTCCCTCCCAAGTTCCTTCAAATTGCATCTACCATTGAACAATTTGGCAACCTCAACACGATGACAGTTGAGGAGGTCATCGGATCGCTCAAGACCCATGAAGAACGATTGCGTGGCTATGGTGAAAATGAGGATGAACAAGTTCTGTTGACAAGTGAAAAGTGGAAAGGGAAACAAGTGAAAGGAGGAGGAGAAAGCTCGTCCAACTCATACAAAGGACGAGGAACGAGTGGTGGCCGTGGTCGTGGCCGTGGGTGTGGCCGTGGCCGTGGTCGTGGTCGCGGGCATGGTGAAAGTGGTCGATGGAATGAATCAAATCACAGTGAGAGAAAGTTCGACAAGTCCAAGGTAAGGTGCTACAATTGTCAAAACTATGGGCACTTTGCCTCGGAATGTCGATCTAAGAAGAAGGAGGAAAAGGCACACTTTGTGGAGGCACAAGAGGATGATGAAGAACCAGCACTCTTAGCGACAGAAATTTGTGAGTGTGAGAATCATAGGGAGATCACAACAGAGGAAGTGATGCTCTATGAGGAGAAAGTGAAGCCAAGGTTGAATGAAGAAGAAGAAGTGGTGCACGACAACTCAGGTTGGTTTCTTGACACTGGAGCAAGCAATCACATGACGGGTTGCAAGGAGCTGTTTTCAGAACTAGATGAAAGCGTGACTGGGAAGGTCAAATTTGGCGATGGTTCTGTTGTGAACATTCGAGGAAAAGGCACTGTGATGTTTCAGTGTCAAAATGGTGAGCATCGATTCTTTACAAATGTTTATTTCATACCTAGACTGCGTAGCAATATAGTGAGTTTAGGTCAATTGGATGAGAATGGATGCAAAACTGTGATAGAAGATGGTTGTTTGTTGGTGTATGATAGAGCTAGAAAGCTGCTGGCAAGAGTAAGAAGATCAAGAAATAGATTGTATATTCTAAACTTGAAAACAACTCACTCAGTGTGTTTGTTGGGGAAATTAAATGAAGTTGAATGGCTGTGGCATGCACGTTATGGCCATTTAAACTTTCAGGCATTGAGGAACATGACCAAGAAGGGAATGGTGATAGGAATGCCTATCGTTGATCACATAACTCAAGTGTGTGATGGGTGTGTCATTGGCAAACATCATCGTACACACTTTCCCCAAAGCGCAAGTTTTCGAGCTGAGACCCCGCTCCAACTCATGCATGGTGACTTGTGTGGCCCAATCACTCCTACAACACCTGGAGGTAACAAATATTTTATGTTGCTTGTTGATGATTATAGTAGGTACATGTGGGTTGTGATGCTCAAGAACAAAGATGAAGCATTACATGCATTCAAGAAGGTGAAGGCAAGTGCAGAGATGGAAGCTAATACTAAGCTGAAGGCATTCCGAACCGATAGGGGTGGGGAGTTCACCTCTAAAGCATTCACCCAGTACTGTGAAGACTCAGGCATCAAGCATTTCCTCACAGCCCCATACTCTCCGCAGCAGAACGGCGTTGTCGAGCGAAGAAACCAAACTGTTTTAGGAATGGTGAGAAGCTTATTAAAAAGCAAACATGTACCAGCTACATTTTGGGGAGAAGCTGTGAAGACAGCAGTATATATATACTCAATCGAGCTCCAACAAAGAGTGTGGAAGGAGTGACACCATATGAGAGGTGGACTGGTCGGAAACCGAAGGTTCAACATCTTCGAGTTTTTGGCTGTTTGGTGCACGTCAAGACTGTGAGTCCATACACAAAGAAGCTGGCTGATAGGAGTGCGCCAATGGTGTTTCTGGGTTATGAACCAGGATCAAAAGCTTACAGAGTTTATGATCCTAATTCAAAGAAGTTGAGAATAAGCAGGGACACAATATTTGAAGAGGATAAGGAATGGAATTGGGGGAATAGACAAGGAGGAGAATATTCTGGAGCTCATTCATGTGGCACGTTCACCGTGCATTATGAATCTGAGAAAGGTGAAGACGCGCAGAACTTTGATGAGCAATCAAGCGGGCAATTCTCTGAAGGTGCGACTTCGCCTCACACTCCCATGAATCATAATCATGCACAGGATGCTGGAGAACCATCAACAAGCTCAGAGAGGCCTCGCAAGTATCGTTCTCTACAAGATGTGTACAATGACACAGTTGAGATGGATGAGGAGGTAGGGCTATGTTTCTTATCTTTAGAAGAACCTGCAACTTATGAAGAAGCAGCAGGCAATGAAAGTTGGAAACAAGCCATGGCGGAAGAAATTGCAGCAATTGAGAGGAATAACACATGGGAATTTGCAGAATTACCAAAAGGGCACCGTGCTATTGGTTTGAAATGGGTATATAAGGTGAAGAAGAATCCTGAAGGAGAAATAGTAAAACACAAAGCTCGACTCGTGGCGAAGGGTTATGTACAAAAACAGGGAGTGGATTTTAATGAGGTATTCGCTCCAGTTGCACGGCTTGAAACTGTAAGGCTCTTGATTGGTCTGGCAGCACAGGAGAACTGGGAAGTACATCACATGGATGTAAAATCTGCATTCCTAAATGGCGAGCTAGAAGAAGAGGTGTATGTAGCACAACCTGTTGGATTCGAAGCAAAGGGCCATGAGGGGCAAGTGCTGAGGCTGAAGAAGGCGTTATATGGACTGCGTCAAGCACCTCGAGCATGGAATTCGAAGCTTGATAAGTGCTTACAGTCATTGGGGTTCATCAAGTGTCCTATGGAGCATGCTGTGTACAAGCAAGAACTGGGGGGTGAAATCCAAGTGATTGGTGTCTATGTAGATGATCTTATTATTACTGGGTCAAGTGTCGAACATATTGCAAAGTTCAAAGAGCAGATGAAGAGGCTATTCGACATGAGTGATCTTGGATTATTGAGCTACTATTTGGGCATTGAAGTGAAGCAAAATTCACATTCCATCACACTGTCTCAGTCAGTATATGCTCTAAAGATACTTGAGAAGCTTGGAATGGCCGAATGCAATCCCTGTCAAATCCCCATGGAGCCGAGACTTAAAATGAGTAAAGTGAATATCAGTCCCCCAGTTGATGCATTTCTGTATAGAAGTGTCATAGGGAGCCTGAGGTACCTAGTCAACACAAGACCTGATTTAGCCTACTCAGTAGGAGTTATCTATTTTCTTGGCGGAAGCCCTGTGACATGGCTATCACAGAAACAGAGAGTAGTGGCACTCTCCTCATGTGAAGCTGAGTATGTGGCCGCAACAGCAGCGGCATGCCAGGGTGTTTGGCTTAGGCGTCTGTTGAGTGAGCTAAAGGGCAGTGAACCTGTCAAAGTTATCATCAATGTAGATAACAAATCAGCCATTGCTCTCACGAAGAACCCTGTGCACCATGACAGAAGCAAGCACATTGATATCAAGTATCATTTTATTCGTGATTGTGTTCAAAAGGAAGAAATTGAAGTGAAGTATGTGAAGACTGAGGATCAACTGGCCGATATTCTGACAAAGCCACTTGGTCGTCAGAGGTTTGTCGAGCTGCGTGAGAAAATAGGACTGAAGGATGTGAAGAAGATGCAACAAGATTAAGGGGGTGAATGTTGAATTAATCTTGTAACGTTATGCATTTCATAGGTTAATTAGTTGGTTACTTAGTGGGTTAAGTGTTTAGTTAGTTAGTTACAGGTTTCTTGTGCACGTTGTGCACGTTTGTAAGTTAGAAAAAAAACTGTTTTGTATTTGTAGTTTTATATGACAGTAATGAATGTGTGTGGATTTTAGAACGCCTGAAAATTGGTTTTCTTTCCTCGTCACAAAAGTGTGTGTTTCCAGCAAATTGAAGAATCAATTCCAACAAACTGATCCTCAGTGCGCGCAATAACATGAAGAAATTTATTTTATTGATATGACTATTACGTACCTCAATACTTATTCAGACCAGAGCACATTGATTGCCTATTGAGGCATAAATAGAAGGCTAGAACGTATATATATTTTGTAGCAATATGGAAGTGGTACGTATTAGTTTTATTCTGGAAAAGAAGTCGAGACGTCAGATTTTTGTATTATGTCTTGTCCAGTAAGGAAAAATTAAAATTAAAATTAAAATTTATCTCTAGAATATCGTACGTACAGAGAATTGAATCTAGTAAGAAACGAGGTGATAAACTTAATAAAATTTGAACTGACAAGCGCGGGAGGCGGTGATAAACATTGATCAATTAATATTGCAACGATCGAACCTTGCAAATGGACATGAAATGAAAATCAGCCTCCTCATCTCCGATGCCAACGTCCGGCAACCGATCACCGCCCAGTTCCATCTCAACAGCCATCCTCTTGAGCCCTCCAATCAAAACGCCAGGTTTCTTAACAAACCCAGTAGCTCTAATCCCACTCCTCGTAACCTCAAGCTCCGTGCCCAGCGCCTTATCCGCCCCGAGAAAGTCCCTCACAAACGGCTCCACCATGATTCTGAGATTAGCCGTAACAACGTACCTCCTCCCGAACGAACTGAACACCCTCCAGCCCTCTGGATGCACATCCTCGGCGTAGAATTTGGGCAATACCGAGCGGGCCACTGTCTCGATGTCCTTAATCTTTAGCCCCGCAAAGGAAATGAATATGAGAATTCGGAGGGCAAAGGCGTCTGAGATGAAGGCGTATGAGATGCACACGAGAGGGACTGAGGATAGAAGGAGTAGACCTCTGAGGAGGCTGCCTGCTTCCACGGCCAAGAGCATGAAGTACGGGAAAGGGCTGCGAGAGATGAGCAGGGTGCCGTCAAGATCTGCGGCCACCGATTGGTTCCTTCTGCCTTTTGAGCTGCATCTCTCTATGGCCTCAAACTGTCGACTAACCATGTTTAATTTGTTTCCGAGAGATCAATATCTCTGTTATTGGAGGGGGGAATGTATATAAAGGGAGAAAGGCTAATTATGAATGCATGTCACGTTTTAGTCTGTACCGAGCCAATCAGCTGGCTAGGCGTTACTTAAGTCCCATTTTCTCACCTAAAAATATATGTTTTGAAGTTACAGTAGTAGATTCTAGCTATAGATTTTCTTCATTATCTTTCTTCACGGAAAGCATAAAATTTTGAGTCACGTCAAATGGAAATCTAGCAAACCCCAAAAAAGTGGTGGGAATCGGTGGTACTCGTCAGTAGGAATTGTTCGTTGGGAAGAAGAGAGTCATGAGAAACTAATCTTAAGACGACCGTTTCTAACCGTGGTTCATACTAAAGTGGTGTTCTGTAAAGGAGCAAGTGAAAAACCGGGGGATCCTTTGGATTCTCCATATTTCTCAAAAGAAAATTTTGTTTGTCGTGTTTTGCACATTGGACTAAGTTTACTTGTTCTCCAGCCAAGTTCTAAAATTTTAATCTGTATCTTGTATAGTTATTTGTGTCTGTAGATAGTTACTTCACTTTACCGTGGGGAAACTGTTCCGGAACTGCCACTATTAGTTCCCATTTAACTGTGCGAAATGATATGTTTGTGGTAACTTGAGTCATCAAATATGTAGCCATCTTTTTGGCATTCTCTCTTAATTCTGTCACTGTCGGGATAGCTTATATGCTCAGGAACTCAAATTTGCAGGTTCTCATTTTATTGCTTGAAACGATCTTTCATCATCTCCGTATTGATGATGTAAGGTGAAGTTCTTCTTTACTCAAAACAAAAGGTGAAGTTTCCAAGAAGAATCAAAAGAGAAATGAGTTTTAACAATAAAATCAGTGCTAGTGTACTCTATGGCCAATCGTTGAAACTATGAGATAGTTTTGTACATGGATATATGGGAACTTATAAATGTACATTCAAACAAATCTTAGTTATCTGCAAACATCAGAAATGAATAATAGCTTCTAAATGTACATACAAAATTTATATTTGTATGAAATATATCTCTTACTTACCTGCTAACATTTAGCAACAATGTGTTTGACAAAAGCCAAATGTTTGTGCTTGATATAGCTGTAGTGTTTTGGGAAAATTAGGGTTAGTTTCTCTCATTGAGAGATCCCTCTTTTATATTAATGCATTCTTACAACTAGGTCCTTACAATATTGACTAATTCACTTAGTATCTAAATAACTCAACACTCCCCCTCAAGATGGGCGATAGATATCAATCATCCCCATCTTGTTACAAAAGATATCATACTCTCTAGAACCTAATCCTTTTGTTAAACAATCAGCTAACTGCTCTTCTGATTTTACATAGCTCAAAGTCAGAACTCCTCTATTCAGTTGCTCCTGTATAAAGAACCGATCAATCTCTACATGTTTGGTGCGATCATGCTGAGCTGGATTGTTTGCAATATTAATCGCCGATTTGTTGTCACACCAAAGTTGTAAGGAGTCTCTTCTAAACAAGCGCAACTCAGATAATATGTTTTTTACCCACATCAACTCGCACAGACTAACTGCCATAGCTTTGTACTCGGCCTCAGCTGTAGACCTAGCCACCACATCTTGCTTCTTGCTACGCCAAGATACGAGATTGCCTCCAACAAATACACAGTAGCCTGTAGTGGATCTATGATCATCCATACAACCCGCCCAATCAGCATCACAATAGCCTTCAATTCTCAGATGTCCAAAACCCCTGAACCATAACCCCTTTCCTGGGCTTCCTTTAATATATCTAAGAATTCTGCGAACTGCCTCCATATGCTGCTCTCTGGGATCATGCATATATCTACTCACCACACTCACTGCATGAGTAATATCAGGTCTCGTATGGCATAGATATATAAGCCGTCCAACCAATCTTTGATATTGCTCTTTACTCATAGGGTCCCCACCCTCGGCACTCATCTTATGATTCTGCTCAATAGGAGTTGATGCAACTCTGCACCCCAACATCCCTGTCTCTGAGAGAAGATCCAGAGCATACTTCCGCTGAGAAAGAACTATACCCTTTCGCGACCTTGCAATTTCAATTCCGAGAAAGTACTTCAACTGCCCCAGATCTTTAACTTCAAATTCCTCTCCCAATTTCTTCTTCAACAGTAGGATTTCCTCAGCGTCATCTCCAGTGATTACTGTTGTGCCTGGTGCTGTCACGTCCACGGGGCAAGGGGGGATGGGGTTTTCACTAATAGAGAAAGAGTACAAACTGAGATTACAATACGCTCAAAGGAACAAACTAATCTCACCACAAAGCTCTTAATCTCTCCAAATAAAACCCTAAACAAATAGCTCAAAAATACCTCTTTTTGTGCTCCAAATATCCCCCAATCAATGCTTAATCAAAGCCTAAACCAAGCCTAGGAAACCCTAAAAAACGTGTCTCTATTTATAGCAAAACACAATCCCAAACTGATTGGGATTCTAAAAACGAGTCTGCCACACCCTGCACCATGGGTGTGGCAGAGGGTGTGGTGCAGGACAGATTCTGCCACACCCTGCACCGTGGGTGTGGCAGAGGGTGTGTGTTGCGCGCAGCGGAAATTTCGGCAGCACAACAAGAGAGTCAGGTTGCAATAAGAATTCTTGTTTCTCAAAGGAAACAAGAATCTGAAGCCTAATATCTC